CATTTTCAAAACGAAATAACTTTTTTGTTTCTTGAACTATTTTATTTTGGTCTTTGTTGTCTGCTAGCATGGTTCTTCAAGTAAATTTCCTACAGGGTGATATGTTAAACGGTGAAAAATTTCAATAACTTCATCCAAGGTCCGTTTATAAAAAAATAATTTTTTTCTCGTTTTTACTTTGAAATAATGAAGTATTCTGTCTTACCTTGAAACGTTTTTCAAATTTTTCGAATTGGAATCTTAGCAACGAAAATATGATTTTTTTCCAAAAGAGTACATTTAAGGCTTTTTTGTAGGCACTACACTTAGTCTTTTTAGGAACAAGAAGATAAGATGGTGAAAGAATGTTCCTTAAATAATTCTGAACAAGCGACAAGCAACAAACTTCCATTATTTTCAGAGGGCCTAAGCAAAGACCACTTTTTTAAAATAACATTTTGATGAAAATTTGAGAAAACTAAACCTAAACCGATATTTACGTTCGTGACATGTTTTCTTCATAATTTTGACCTCCTTATTGTGATTAAGTTGTCAAATTTAAGTTTCAGATAAAACCAAAATCACCAAGAATCAAGATTCGAAAACAATTCCTGGCTGTTAAATACGATTATTGGTTTTTACTATTTTTTACTGTGTTTTGCATCTTAAGTACGGTATTATCATGTCGCTAAATGATAAAATCGAGGATCAAATGAAAATTAGTTCTTAAAAAACATTTAAAACGCATTATGAGGAATATTCTTGATTTTTTCAGTTTGCTTGTGTTTTTCCAAATTTTGAAGTTTTTTTGCTTAAATTATACCCACCTCCACTATCTTACCCAGGTTCCTTTAAAAGATTAAAATACCAATGCCAGACTTAACATCTCCAAATCAAAACCCTTAAATGCACTCTTTTGGAAAAAAATCATATATTCGTTGCTAAGATTCCAATTCGAAAAACTTGAAAACCTTTTCAAGGTAAGACATAATACTATATTATTTTTAAGTAAAAAGGAGAAAAAATATTTCTTTTTTCAAACGGGGCTTGGATGAAATTATTGAAATTTTCACCGTTTTACATATCACCCTGTACGAAATTTACTTGCAGAACCGTGGGCTTCATATATATATATAGCATGAATTGCCAGATGATGGGGCTAGCAGACATCATAGACCAAAATTAAATTGTTTAAGAAACAAAAAAATTATGTCGTTTTGAAAAAGGACAAACTTTTTGGTCGCGACACATTGAGTGGTGCGCAGTTTATATTATGTAGGGTTAGCTAAAGTTTTTAAGGTATTTAACATCGTCTATAGTTTTTTCCCCAGTTTTTTAGTTAAAATTTTTTTCAAGATCAAAGACAATCTAAACACATCTTTTTTTCTTTCAGACACGGTAGATTGAACGTTCTGCGTTGGTTAGTTTGGGAGAACCAGAAAAAATTGGAGCATCAACAAAATATGCCTTCGATAGAGGCATTACAGAGGCATCACGCCGATGTACCCAGTGGTACCAACACAACCCTGGCACTTCATTATGCCGCCGCTAGGGGATGTCTGGATTGCGTACGATTGTTGGTGGATACATCTACAGATTTAAGGTAATAAGAATGTTGGCTTACCAACCGAGCATATAAGCCTATATACAGTCCTTTGTTTTGAGTGTGTTCCACTACACGAAGTTGCCCGACACTGATGAGACCCAATATAGGTCGAAACAGCTGTCTGTCGGTATTTGAAGTTGGTGGAACGCATTCAAAACAAAAAACTTTGGCGAGGTGTAAGTTCAATTTTTTCTTAAGATTGTTTCTTATAAAAAAGTTTATTGTAATAAACTATTAATAATTCATTCATTCATATAATTATTACTTATAATTATTTCCTTTTAAAAAGAATTAAATCGGTTTGCACAGCTTCTGCATTACATTTATTAATATTAATGTATAGTTCACTAACCGAACATTGTTTTCCTATGCCATGTTACTTATGTAGGTACGTGTTATTATTATTATTATTATTAAATTATAATTGTTGTTTGCATGGAAACATACAGTACTTAAATAATAATTAATTTATAAAAACAACGGATAAATACGTATTATATGGAAATTTTGTATCAATGTGTATAATCTCGTATACACGATATTTTATAAGTTCACCAATAAATCAAATGTCAGTTATTATCAAGATGTTCGGTTTTTCATTTATTTATGGTTTAAGGGTAGTGGTAAAATTGACTATTTTAAGTACTTTTTGTTGAATAACTTTTTCTGCTTTGAGGCTTTGTTTTTGATATAAAAGTTTATTAGACATTACAACTTCGTTGTAAATTTTTGATTACAATAAAAAAATTTAATACATTTATTTAACCAACCAAAATAATTTAATTTTTCTACTATCACCTTTAAAACGCCCATTATCTTTTAAATACACATTGACAAATTGTGGCTTTATGGCGTTGTAGTCACAGGCTAAAGTTAGCAACAGGTTTTTAGTCACGGGCTGAAGTGAGTTGACAGTTGCCAAATGTTATACAATCATTAAAATAAAGTGTAGCCCTTCTTGTGAAATAATAAAGTGAAAATTATTTTATAATCTTCATACAAAAATAAAAAGTATTAAATAGTTTATGATTTTGCCGGCAGTAAACTATATTTAACTGGAAGCATTAAAAATTTCGGGTGGAGACTCCACCGTAAAGTGCACATTCTCTTCACTTTCACTGTAAAAAACTGCTTCCATATCATCATTGAAACGGTTGTCCATTTTCAATTGATAAATTTTGATTTAAAAGTACAGAAAGCAAGTCGTTTATAAACTTTTCTAGACACTCATTTATTTAAATCAAATTCGTGACTAAAATGGCTTGATACATATGGGTGATTCTACAAAAGTTGGGCAACTTTTGACCTCATTTTATTTATATAGTTTTCGGAGAAAATTAAACAGTATTTCGTTATGAGAACCTAGATAATATAATAAATATACTGTTCCAGACCGGGTCAGTCACTTTTGCAAACAGTTTCTGAAATATCTGTGTTTTCTAAATTTGGATGCAAGGGAAGTGACGAGTATACCAGAGTACTAATTAAATACATAATTTATTGGAAAATATAAGATTTATTGCAACTTTGAGCATATTATACATTAAATATCTTAAAATCAAATAATACCACACATCAGTGGCGACTGAGTATACCGATATCTCAATTATTAGATATGGGACCCACACCAAATTTATATGAGTTTAGAATGACATTAAATAAACAAGTTCTGCGCAAGCTGAATTTAAATTGAAGTTTGCGAAAAAAAGATAACCGAAACATCGAACATGGAACTGACGACCCGGTACTGATGAATTGGATGCAAATTTGAGATTATAATTCGGAATTAAGTATTATACTGATGTTTTTTATTAGTGGATGCTACTTATCAACAAATCACATATAGCCTTATATAAATTACAATGAAATATATATACGTAAGAAAATAACTACTCTCCACAGTACAGAAATTTTGATTGGAACTATACGTGCATTCACCACAACTTCGCCGCTTGTATTGTTTTCAAGATGACTGTCGTGCAAAGGGCGGGCTCTGTAGGTAATTTTTTACCAACACGAGTTAAAACAAGGACTTCAATATTTCGCAGGAATTTTGAATTTTAACATAGGACATAGAACTGACGGGTAAAAGTGAGTACAAAGATTATCATTTTTTTTTAAATTGCTATTATTCGAATCTATGATAAAATATGAAAAATACATTATTTAATGTTTTATAGTTTGTAGTGAAATTGAAAAATTTAAGATAAATTGAATATATTTTAAAATAAAATCTGGTACTGATGTTTTGAATATTTATTATGTTTTTCTACAAACGTGCTTTTGAAAAAATACATTAAAATTGGGTGGACAAGTTAAAAAAAATGGATCTTTTGTAATATACTAAAATATTTACAAAAAATATTAAAATTCCTTCTCTATTGACTGATGACATCAAGTTGTCCAACTTTTGTAGAATGACCCATATACTATTATTACAAAAATACCAAAAAAATAATTAATATTAAATATTACATTTTTGATATTAATATTTAAAATATATAAAGATTTATTTCTAATACAATTTTTAATCAACGCTATTACTAAACCTTTGATTTAATTAAGGTTCTCAAAGACAGCTTGCCTATATATACTCCTAAATTATAAAAAAATTCGGTAAAATAAGAAAAAATATTGAAAATTATAATTTTTTTATAGCAATATATTTAAAAATATATCGATATCTTTTTCGATTTATCGAAAAATATATATCAATATATTCCTAAATATATTGATATAAAAAAATATAGATATATCGTTGCCATCCCTACTCACGAGTCCACTTTTAAACACCACATTAATAAAATACAAAAATATAATTTATAGAATGTCCTGTTTCTCGTAAACCATTTTTTTTAATCAAATTAACTGCCACCCTAATCAAAATAGTATATCTCACGTGTGTGTTATGGTAAAAATATGCGGTTTTTACCATTAATAAAAATAAACAATTTTCTTAAACTTTATATTTTACAGCATATTCAAATTTTAAATAGTTTTTAAGATACTAGACATTCTATAAACATGATTTTTTTGAATTTTGTGCACCGATGAGTAAAACCTAGTATATCTCATTAGAGTGTTCTAATAATGACACCAGATTTTTACTATTTATAATAATATAAAATTATGTTAATGTTTGTTTTTATAGCTTTTTTTAATATTCTATAGCTTTTGAGATACAGGGCATTCTATGAACTCTTTTTTAGAATTTAATAATATTTGTTTAAAAGTAAGTAATATCTAATATATCTCAGGTGTTACAAAATATAACCCATTCTATAAACTACTTTTTGAATTTTAATTTTTATATGTGCATTGAAGTAATTAGCCAAGAAAGACCGCTTCCTAAGTGTGCAAAATGCATCTAGTTTTCTTGCCCCCCACTTAAAAACAGTTAAACAGTAACGCTCTACAAGAAGATCGCACCAAAAGAGTAAACTTTCTTCAACCAGTAATTTACGTTAAACCAGACACGGACAACTGTACCGTTCGCTAGTAACTGTTGTCCAATAATGCGCTAAGTGCGCTTAGGTAAAGTGCGTTGGTTTAATATTTCGCAAAATAATTTTAATATGTGACTTTAGTGTTTTGTGATTTTATATTTTTTCTAATAAAATGGCTAATGTAGTGTGCAGAACTGCTCCCAATAAAAGGAAATCCAAAAACCAAAGGGCTAAATTAAGGTAAAATTACTAGTGAATAATATGTCATATATCTCATAGGTGGATTAAGACTTAAGACTTATCCAGTTTTTATCATTACAAATATTAATAAATTTTCTATAATTTTGCCTTAAGTTTTTATTTATCTCTTATAATTTTTAAGATATAGGCCATTTAAAAAATTATAACAAAAAATGATTATTTCATATACTCATAAGTTACTTAAGGAAAAATACGTGGTTTTTACCATTTTAAAGATAATACACTTATCTACAACCTTCGTACTAATTAGTTTTCAAGATATATCCTTAGATAAAATTATATGTATAGGTACCTATGGTAAAAATAAAGACAACTATTTCATATATATTCATTTATATTTATACCTTTTAAATCGCTCTATAATTATACAGTTTATGTACAGTTGACTGGGTTTGACATTTGTATTACAATAAAATTTAATTATTATTAATTATTTTTAAATGTTAATGTCAACTAGATAAATTTATAAAAATTGTTAAATAATAAAATAAAATCTGCAGTACATTAAAACATAATTTATTAATTATCCATTCACGTATATTTAACATTAATAAGCACCTTTATTAATTATCATTATTTGTATTTTTAAACTCATAAATTTAATTGACAGTCGTTGGTATTATGCATTCTAAAATATGTGTGTTAAATTCTACAAGCATAAAGTTTTGTAAAAGATTTTAATAAAGCGCATATTCTCAATAAACATATGTCAGGCTTGACTAATTTGTATGGTTTTTGAAACCACATTTAATGATTTATTTTGGTCAAAGTTCCTTTTATAATAAATTTTTTTTCGTTACTTATATTTTTTTTATATTTTTCTTTAAAAATAATTCGGGTCAAGTTTGGCGGATTTATAACAAAATTTAAATAAATTTTTTTTTACATTAACTTTAAAAACTGTCATTAAATTAAAAAATCTTATTTGTAAATAATGTAATATCTTATTACTAATAAGTTTTTATTATGAATTTTTTCTTTCTTTAATAAGCATAAAATTTCACAACTCTAAAATAATTTAATGATGTTTATTTAAGTAACTCTTACAAAAGAAAATTAATTAAAGCAACATATTTTTTCTTAAAACTAAATTTGACTTATAAGTCATATTTTTACTATAGGTACTAAAACCGCTTCATAACCGTAAATAATTATTGGGAACTTTTTAAAACCTTAAAAAGTTCCTAAAGTGGTAAAAAAAACTATTAATAATGACTTAATATAAAACTAAAAGGGTATATCTAAAACACGCCAGATTAAATTATTAAATTTATAATTTTTTTTATATATAATCAATTTTTACAAGTTATTCAAATTAAATGATTTTTTTAAGGCTTAAAGATTTAATTATTTTGTACATAATTCATATATTTATTTTAAATAATAAAACATTTAGAGGGCATACATTTTTTGACTTATTATAGATATTTTTATTAAAAAGATAAATTGCGTTTTGGTTTTAATGCTCAATATAATTAGTTTACTTAATGATACTTGGGAAAATATAAAAATGTCTACAGATTTTACAAATTGTAATACCAATTTCACCTAGATAAGGTTTTTAATTTTTATTTTATTATTCCTACTATAATTTTAAATTATTTTTTAATGCAAATTGCCCAAAAAAATTTCAGCTTAAAAATATTTAATATATTTTTGGAAATTCCCGTATACTATACGTTTAAGGCACTTATTTTTTAGTTTAAAGTTTAAGTCAATTTTGGTTTTTTAAACCTTTTTCACAATTTTTAATACAAAATTTTATTTAAAATCTTCAATTTAAATTTTTAGGGTTCGTTCCACGAAATATTACAGAAACATTTTACAAGTGAATTTTAGGACTTTACAAAAGACAAATCTAGCCATTCTTGTCCCACTTTACACTGCCTTCATTAATAAAGATTCTTTTAACGTAAAAAATGTATGCGGTCTAAAAACACGAACATAACCAAACCCGTGACTAAAATGCCATAAAGTCACAGCTGGTCAATGTAGATGTAGATAATAGTATATTATGTATCAAGTTTGATAAACGCCATTTTATACACGGATTTAATTTAAATTAATGAGTGTATAGAAAAGTTTATAAACGAGGTGCATACTATACTTTTTCTACGACAAATACTTATTATTATCTTAAAATGATTTAAATAAAAATTTTGTATAGAGCGCCATCTATGAATCAATAGGGGAATCTGTGTCACCGTCAAATGTCACATTTTTATATTTTATAAATACAGATTATAAAGGTTATAAATCGAAATGTATTTCTTGAAAATTGGCAGTTTTTCACAGTGAAAGTAAAGAAAATGTTTTATGGGGACTTTACAGTAGAGTCCGTGCCCGAATTTAAGTTATAGTTTACTGCCGGCGAAATTAAAAGGTCAGTACAATGTTCATATAAACTTTTCAAATATTGGCGTTGAGAAACTATTTAATACTTTTGTATTTTTGTATTGAGATAATAAAATAATTTTCACATTTAGTATTATTTTACAAGAAAGGCACTTTATTTTAACGATTGATTTGACAACTGTCAACTAACTTAAAACTAACTTCAGCCCGTGACTAAAAACCTGTTGCTCACTTCAGCCCGTGACTAAAGCGCCATAAAGCCACAACTTGTCAATGGGTATTTAAAAGGTCACTTAGTGTCATGGAAACATGTACGATAAAGGGTGTTTTAAAGGTTGGAAGTAGAAGAAGTAATTATAATTAGGTACTCTTAATTATTGGGTTCCCATAAAAAGCTAAAAATCAGTGTATAATATTACACCGAATTTGTTAATGTACTGAACAAATTGATTTGCAAACTTTCATTGCAACATGTTGTTTTCACGAAATTGAAGCACCGTCACATTGAACTAAGTTTCAATTATCGTAGTAATTACGATTATTCTGCATTCGCGCGCCGCGGCCAGCCACCGCTGTAATTTTCTAATATTAGGTTGTTTTGTAAATGAAAGTGCTCCCCGACTATTACTTGAAAACTTTTACATGAAAAACACTTTCTTTTAAGCAATAATAAAAAAATAATAATAAATATCTGTAACAACGATAATGTTAAGTAGATTTATTGTTGAATATGACACTTTCACTGATGATAAAATATTGAAAATAAAAAGGTGTTAACTGTTGTCGATAAATTATGCACGCAATATGCGTATTATTAGTTTTTTAAAATTGTTTAGTTGCATGCTATCATAGAGTGTGATCACGAATCCGAAAAGGAAAAAAATGATATTTTCTACTCCCACCTTTAAAACGTTCATTATCTTACATGTTTCCAAGACACTAAGTGATCTTTAATATGCACATTGACAAGCTGTGACTTTAAGACATTTTAGTCACGGGCTGAAGTTAGCTTTAGGTTAGTTGAAAAATGTAAAATAAAGCGCCCTTCTTCTGAAATAATACCAAGTGAAAATTATTCCATTATCTCAATACAAAAATAAAAAAATATTAAATAGCTTCTTGACGCCAACTTAAGTTAATATGCACGTTTGTTTTGACCTTTTTATTTTGCCGGTAGAAAATTAGTATTTACCGATAAAGTATTAAAAATTTCGGGTGGAGTACCCATAAAACATCCTCTTTACTTTCACTGTGAAAAACTTAAAATTCAAAATTAGATTATGTCATAGCATTACTGTTAAATATTGATATGTATTCCTTTGGTATTTTGATATGCATGTTGTGTTTGGAGAATGCTTTGAAAAAGCAAGTCATTTGCATATGTGTGTGTGTCAAAGTAATGTTTAGATTTAATTTATGATTTTATTAGTTTCTGACAGGAACTTTCTGTCAAGTCTAACGTAAAATAAATAATCTTTAAGTAAAAATAAAGAATTTGACACTTTTTAATATTGTTATTTGTTGTTATGATGATCAGTGGCGCCTGGTGGATTTTATTATTAGATATGGGACCCACACCAAATTTATATGAGTTTATAATGACATTAAATAAACAAGTTTTGCGCAAGCAGATTTTAAATTAAAGTTTGAGAAAAAAAGATAACTTTTTGCTCGGCGTACCGGCCCCATGGCGCCCCCAATAAATATAATTGGTGCAATTTATTATTTAGCATAGTTTATCGACAAATTTCAAATTTCATATAAAAAATCCAAATTAACAGATTTTATACCATTTTAAATTTTTAATATTTCTTTTCAAAGGGTCCCATAGCTATAGAAAATCCCAAAAATCCCAGCAAATTGGTTAAAAAGATACAGAGATAAATCTGTGTGATTCTACAAGAGTTGGACAACTTGATGTCATCAGTCAAAAGAGTAGGTATTTTAATATTTTTTGTAAATATTACAAAAGATACAGGTTTTTTAACTTGTCCACCCAATTTTAATGTATTTTTTCAAAAGAACGGTTATAGAAAAACATAATAAATATTCAAAACGTCACCTTGGCGTGTCACAACTCCTAAATCAAATATTTGAGTGATTTTATTTTAAAATATATTCAATTTATCTTAAATTTTTCAATTTCACTACAAACTTTAAAACATTAAATAATGTATTTTTAATATTTTATCATAGATTCGAATAATAGGAATTCTTAAAAAATTGATAATCTTTGTGCTCACTTTTACCCGTCAGTTTGGTGTCCAATGTTAAAATTCAAAATTCCTGCGAAATATTGAAGTTTAAACGTCAAGTCCTCGTTTTAACTCAAGTGTTGGTAAAAAATTACCCTTTGCACGACAGTCATCTTGAAAACAATGCAAGCGGCGAAGTTGTGGTGAATGCACGTATAGTACCAGTCAAAATTTCAGTACTGTGGAGAGTAGTTATTTTCTTACGTATATATATTTTGTTGTAATGTATGTAAGGCTATTTGTGATTTGTTGATAAGTAGCATCCACTAATAAAAAATATCAGTAAAATACTTAATTCCGAATTATAATCTCAAATTTGTATCCCATTTATCAGTACCGTGTCGTCAGTTCTATGTTCGATGTTGACTG